AGGTCAGGTGGCTTCTGCAAAGGAAATAGATTTAATAGTTCGTGTTGATGACCTTTTATAGAACTAGAAAAAGTTATACACGTGATAGATTTTCAGTGAGAGGGGACAGGCTGGGGAAAAAAAAAGTCTTATTTTGTAGAATATAGGATGGCTTAAAAGGAGTTGGCAGAATTAGACTAATGGGAAAAATAAAGGCATTAAAGTTGGACAGAAGTGGTGCAGGTTTTGGTTTTACTTTCCTATTTCTTGTTTTTGTTTTCAGATTTTATACTGCCATTCACATTTAAAATGTAATTGAGGTCTTGAAATAAGCTTTAAGACTTTATTTAGATTGATGAAACAGCAAGTTCTTCAGCAAATAACAGACCTTAGTGGCAATTATCAAGACCAAGAATTATTTATTTCTTTCTTGCATTAAATTGATAATGCAAAATTTAATGCAAGTATTTTATATCGTTAAAATACAATGAAAAATGCATTTCATGCACAATAATGAATCCAATTTGGAATTGCATTTTTTTCAGATACAGTGGGGTCTCTGAAGTCCTATATCACATATCAATCACATTTCTTTCTGACCCGGAAGATAACTTTCGATTTTCCTGGGTTTGGCGGTGGTAGTGTAGCATCTTCTTTACAAACATGCAGCTTGCCAAGTCGTTTCAGCGAATAGCTGTGGGATAATCACAATGCTGTAGGTCTAAAGTCAAATATGTATCAGACCAAGTAAGGATCTTCCCCTAAAAGAAAATTACTGAATGAGGAGGGTTTCCATGACAATTTAGAAGTTTCATAGTTAGCATAATTGTTACAGCATTGCATTCCAGACTTAAGAGTCATACAGAAACCATCCCTAATCAATCCTTGCCTTTCCAAATGCACGTAGATCCTGTACTTCTGAATTCCCTCCAACAACATATCCACTACTGACTTTAGGCTCACCGGTCTGTAGTTCCCTGCAGCCTTTCTTAAATAATGGCACAACTTTAGCCATCCTCCAGTCTTATGGCACCTCACCCATGGCTGGCAATGATACAAATATCTCTGCAAGTGGCCACACGATTTCTTCCCTAGCTTCCCAAAATGTCCTGGGAGATACTTGATGAGATCCTGAGGATTCATCTATTTTATGAGTTTTAACACCGCCAGCACCATTTCTTCTGTAATGTGGGCTCTTTTCATGACATTACTATTTGTATGCGGTTGGCGTTCTCTAGCTTCCATGTCTTTCTCCACAGTAAGTACTGACACGAAATAGTTGTTTAGGATCCCCCCCATCTTCTGTGGTTCCACAAATATTTGTTGATCTTTAAAGGTGCCCAAGTTACTCTTTTGCCCGTAGTATATTTGTAGAATCTCTTTGGATTCTCCTTTACCCTTTCTGCCCTTCTGACTTCCCTGTGAAGTGTACTCTTACATTCCCTATACTCTTCAAGGGATTCGCTTGATCCCAGCTGTCTATACCTGACATATGCGTCGTTTTTTTTCTTGATCAGAGCCTCAATACTTCTTGTCATCCAGTGTTTTCTATTCTCACCAGCCTTGCCTTTCACACCAACAGGAACACGCTGACCCTGAACTCGTTACCGCACTTTTGAAAGCCTCCCACTCACCAAATGTCCCTTTAATTGTGTACAGCCTCTCCCAATCAACCTTTGGAAGTTTTATACAGTAATATTGCCCCCATAGTAAAGAACTAAACCACAAAGTGACTTATAAGCCTTGCACTAATTTAGAACTTTTAACTTGTGGACCAGCTCTATTGTTTTGCATAACCATTTTAAAACCAATAGAATCAAGGTCACTGATCCCAAAGTGCTCCCCACTGACACCTAAGTCACTTGCCCTGCCTTATTTCCCAAGAGGAGGTCAAGTTTTGCCCCAATTTCACTATAGCCATCTAAATGTTGATTAAAAGTTTTCTTGAACACACTTCCAAGCCCTTAACAGTATGTCAGTCCCAATTCATGTTCCCATTCAAGAAAGTTAAAATCCCCTACTTTTACAACCTTATTATTCATACAGCCAGCTGCAATCTCCCTGCATATCTGCTGCTCAGTTTTCCATTAACTAATGGGGGGCTTATAGTACAATCGCATCAAAGTGATCACCCCTTCTTATTTCTCAGTTTCATCAATATAGCTTCACTGGACGATCCCTCAGGAAAATCTAAGTGTTGCCTTGATATTTTCCCTTATCAAAAATGCCACTCATCTTCCTCTCCTACCCCTCTTCTATCCTTCCCAGAGCATCGGTACCACATAACATTGAGCTGCCAGTCCTGATTCTCCCTCAGCCATGTTTCTGTAATAGCTATGATGTCCCAGTGCCATGTTCCCATCCATGCCCCGAGTTCACCTGCCTCACCTGTCAGGCCTCTTGCATTGAAATAAATGCAGTTTAATTAATCAGTCTTCCCTCATTTGTTACTGTGTTCTTGCCTATGAAACTTGCACTCTTCAACTTCTGTACCAGCCTAAACCTTCTCTCAGAGTAGTTTAAAACCTCCCAAGTAGCTCAAGCAAATCGCCCTGCCAGGATATCGATTCCTTCCAGTTCAGGGCAACCTGTCCCTCTTGTACAGGTCACTTCTGCCCAGAAGAGATCCCAATGATTAAAAATCTGAATCCCTGCTCCCACACCAGTTCCTCAGCCACACGTTTACCCTCTTACTCCTACATTCACTAGCATGAGGCACCAGAAGTCCAGAGATTACTCCCCTTTGAGGTCCTACTTTTTAAACCTCTAGTCTAACTCCCTATATTCTCAGGACCTCATCCCTTTTTCTACCGATGTCATCCATACCGATGTGTACAATGACCTCCGGCTACTCATGCTCCCCTTTGAGAATATGCTGCACATGCTCCGAGACGTCCTTAACCCTAGCACCAGGAAGGTGACACACCATCCTGGATTCTCTCTCATGGCTGCAGAAATGCCTGCCTGTGCCTCTGACTAAAGTCCTCTATCACAATTGCTCCCTTAGACTTTGCCATACCCTGCTTTACAGCAGAGCCAGTCATGGTGCCAAAGACCTGGCTGCTGCTGCTATTTTTCCCTGAAAGGCTTCCCCCCCCACCGCCGCCCTCAGCAACAGTATTCAAAATAGTATACTTGTTTGAGAAGGGGATAGCCACAGGAGACTCTTGAACTGCCTGTCTACCACTCCTGGCGGTCACCCACCTCCCTGAAGCTACTATCTATTACACACACTGCCTCCTGTCTGCTCATCAGTGCTCCCAACTGCTGCTCCAAACAATCCACGTGACCTAAGAGGAGCAGCCAGGCACAATCCTGCAGACATCATCAGAGATACTCAACTGCTCCCTGATCTCCCACATCTTGAGAAAGGATGTACTGGCACTGGAGGGGGTGCAGAGGTTCACTAGGTTGATTCCGGACTTGAGGGGGTTGGCTTATGAGGAGAGACTGAGTAGATTGGGATTATATTCATTGGAATTCAGAAGATTGAGGGGGGATCTTATAGAAACATATAAAATTATGAAGGGAATAGATAAGATAGAAGTAGAGAGGATGTTTCCACTGGCAGGTGAAGCTAGGACAAGAGAGCATAGCCTCAAGATTAGAGGGAGCAGATTTAGGATTGAATTGAGAAGGAATTTCTTCACCCAGAGGGTTGTTAATCTCTGGAATTCCTTGCCCAGTGAAGTAGTTGACGCTACTTCAGTAAATGTTTTTAAAGATAAGGTAGATTTTTTTTGTACAATAAAGGAATTAAGGGATACGGTGAGAACGCGGGTAAGTGGATCTGAGTCCATGAAAAGATCAGCCATGATCTTATTGAATGGTGGAGCAGGCTCAAAGGGCCGGACGGCCTACTCCTGCTCCTAGTTCTTATCTGACAGGAAAGCGTACCACTCCACTGGCTGCCATCTCTGCCGCTTTAACGACTAGCAGACTTAGGGGGAAAAGGTCTTACCTTGTTGCTGCTCACCCTCCTCAACAAGACCTGGTGTTCACCAAGGCCCGCTCTCAGGTCTAACCTGTAGCAGCTCAACCACGAAGTAGCCTCTCGGAAAAATGGCCAAACAAGACGCAGCAACGCCTCCCACACCCTGGCTCACTTGCCTAAATTCTCACACTTAGCTCAACTTCCAGCATTTTCACTCTTGCAATTTGCACTTCAGGCCTTGCTTTTATGCTGTATGGTCTGCCCTGCTACAAGAACTAGATTTAACTAGTTTAAATAATAGCTTAATTAGCTATAGCACTGGGACAGCTTGTTTAAACGTTCCTTCGGCCTGAAAGAAAAAAATTACCCTTAAATGTCTACCTTTCCCTTATGCACAGTTTTAGGTTTTAAGGTGGCAAAGGATTAAGTTTCATACTCCTGAACTCCCACACTTAGCTCAACTCCCAGCGTTTTCATTCTTCTGCAGCTTGCACTCTGAGTTAATTAACTTAGTTAATTTCATTTAAATTCTCCAGCTGATATGCTGGGATTTGAACTATTGCCTTGGAATCATGAGCCCAGGATTAATGGTCCATTAATAGAATCCAGTGTTACCATATTCATATTAAACAGGATCTGTCTGACTATCTTTGAGGTAACAGAAGTATCGCTACCAACTGAGAAAAAGGTTAAAGTTATTGCACATAGTTTGCAGTTTAAAGTATGATAAGCAACGTTTGAAAATAATTCCAATCAACATGTTCCCTCCCTCTTGATTTGTGTAACATACATCAAAACATGTAACAAAGCAAAAATACAGTATTATACAGTAATATTGCCCCACAAAGAACTAAGCCACAAAGTGACTTATAGCTAGCCTCAAACAGAGCAATCTTATTAAGCTACTCCATTAATTCTTAAAAATTATGCTTCAATTTTTTTTTTAAAAAAGAGAGCAATTTCTTGTGTATGCAGTTTCACATCTAATTGAAAACTTTCATGTTTGCTTTGGAAAACTTCGTAGAGTTCATTATAAAAGGAGGGACAATTGTAAAGTTAGAAGACGTATAAACACAATAGACACAAATATAGTCAAAATTTTATTGGGGCTGACCAATTCTGTAAATATACACCAATTTTATATGTAAAATGGACTTTGAAAACATACCAGTTACTGACTAAAACCTTAAACAACATTCAGGCTTTGACTAAGAATAGTTGACACATCTTTAAATGGTTCACAAATAAAGAATGCTAAACTTTTCATCACTTTCATCAAGTGATAATGGAATCCACCACACATGTAATTACTTCCTTCAGTTTCTGATTCTATTTCCAACTGAGGAAGTAGAATGGAGACTAATGGTGTGCACTAGAAATAAAAGCATTTGTATTTTGTATTTATCCAGTTATAAAAGTATTCTGTCATTGGCTCTGCACCACTCCTAGAAGCACATTTTATGAACATAAATATATTTAAAGATTAATACATTGGGTCAAGTTTGATAATGTAAAGGAATAAACATGGTACATGTGTATCTGTAGCAGTCTTAAGTTAATCCATTCACAAAATCCAAAAGTACAAAGAAATACAAAGGTTTACCACACATCTACAAGGCTGGTGTTTCAGTTACCATAAGTGAAGGAACCAAATGGCTCTCAAATAAAAGGCATAAGAACAAGGTAGACATAAAAGTGGAACTAAAGTCCATAGTTACATAACCTCAAAAAAGTACTTGGTTTCAAAGGGGCACGAGTGCTATTAATCTAAATGTTTAAAACTTCTCTAGAAAAGATAAATGGTAAATCTGACCATGTAAGGGTGGAAATAAAAATATTATCAGTGAAAGTCTGCTCGTGTTCTCAAGTGAAAGCAAGGATTTCAAAACACCACTGCTTTATATCAATTCTGGAGTAATAACAATTTTAAAAAAAAATCTTCATGACTGTGTTCAACAACTAAGAGCTACTGACTGCATCTAAAGCACTCTACTATCAGCTTATAGGTTTGGTTACTAAACAGTTGAAAGGGCCAAGTCAATGTTCATTAGCATTGATATTGGGGGAAGCTGATTTCAATCTCAATATTTATCAGTATGGTTGATTTTAAAAAAAAACAGATTGCAAGGAGAACAAGTGTAATTGTTTTGCTGATTAAAAGAGAATCAGTCATAGGCAAAGAAATAAATGAATGAAAAGTTAGGCATTCTTGAATCTTGCAGCTCTTACAAAAATAATCTTGTACTAAATACACAGAATTTAAATATACTCTTCACACAACAATTCCAAGCTATACCTTGCAGAGGTTTGGCTCAATACATTAACTCCTAAGTACACTACTCAGACGCAAACTACTACAGTACAATGGTCCAAGCAGTGATCTGGATAAAATAACATAGCAGTATACTTCACAAAAGAAAAACAACAGGAAAGGCACAAATCAAACCAGTTACAAGGGCAAATCAGCAGCTATTCTGAATCAACATTGGACACAGTGCTGAAAAAGGAAAAGAAACCATTAAAATTACAGGCACACTGCAATTTAATATTCCTAGCTGTATGTTTACCAGATTAAATCCACTATTTGCATCTATTACAGCAAATTTTTAAAAATGTCTCAATTAAGGAAGAATAAAAAAGGCTGTGCAATACCTTGTAGAAACTGAAAAATGAAAAAATCTCAACATTAGTTTCAGAACTGGTTGCTGAGGTTTGATTTTTACAGATTAACACAATGAGTTTTCAGTACATTCAAACTTCTCCAGAAAAAAAATTAATTCCAGACTGGAAATAAATCCACAAAATCAGACTATAAATGATCACAAAATACATTGTTTTTTTTAATCATAACCATAATTTTAAAGGTAGTTGATAACTGTCTTGCACAGTACAGATTAGTTCCAAGGTGTACTATAACCACACAGTGCTAAACCTCCAGGTAATGTTAAGATTCCTCATATTCCCAATCCAGCATATCTCTGACATGGAATGCACAGGGTAAATTATTAGAGATAAATCCTTCTCTGGGACACACAAAAATGTGAGGGAAAACGAAATCTCAGATAATAGCCTCATCCCCAATTGCATATCTTAACAGACAGTTGTTTGTTTGTTCCAAATGAAGGTGACAAAGATTTAATGTGAAGGATATCAGAAAGTAGTGCTGTATAATCAGAAAAACTATGTAAGTATGCATATTGAATTAACAGAATGGCAAATACTTCTTGGCAATGTGGTTGAACAGTTAAACCATAAAAAGATAGATGTCTTCACAGCCTTTTCACTACAGATGACAGAACATTGCTATGCTATCTCAAATGAGTAATTAAGAAATTAGCAAACCTCAGTTAAATCATTTGAGGTATCATAAATGGGCAGTGGACAAAGTTCAAAATATGCATCATTGGTAAATGTTTCAGAGACACAAATGTCCATCATTGCTTCATCCCTATGTCTTGTTTACCAAGTATTGTCGCAGTTAGAAACCATCATAAGGTAATATAGCCTTCAATCCAGTTCCCATCTTTCGGTATTTACTGAATATACCCCCTGTAAAGATTACAATAATTTCACTGATCTTTCCACATCTTAATAATTGAAGCAAGCACTGGTTTAGCTTCTCATTGCAATTTCTGTTACTTGGTCCATGCTAATACTGATACAGTATCGTTAACAACTACATTGCTGTAATTCACAAGTAATGCACATCTGCCTCAAATTATTTAGAAAAATGAATGGCTGCTACCCACAACGGAACAACTTACTTCATCCGTTTTTAAATTACTTCTGATTTGCTGTTCCATGAAAGTTCTTCTATCATATTAGGGATACGAAAAATATTTGACCATTTTGTAATAAAAATAAAATCCTTCCCTAAAAAGAGTAGTTTTGACTTTCCCAGTCAAAACGGTCTATTTGTAGATCGTTACCTAATGATACTTCCAGTGCAAATTGCCAGTGTAGTTTAATGTCCAGTATAAAAACAGTTTTAACAAGAGCAGTTTCCACAACCTTTTACACTGTTCAAAATCTCTTCTGATAATTTTCGCCTTTCCTCTTCCTTGGATGACATTATTTTCGCCCCCTTTTGATCATGGGAATTTGTATTGTTGAACACTCTACTGTTTTGTGCTCGCCACAGCTCAGAGTAAAGGCTGTTGGGTTTGTTCAGGAGAGTTTGATGGGTTCCACGCTCTGCTATCTTACCCTGCAACAAATTGTAAAGAGCAAAATAATGACTTTAGATGAACATCGTCTCGTCAGATATGACTAAAGATCCACTGGCATTAGTCTGTAATGCATAGTTTTTAAAAAACATTCCAATAGATTCATATTTGTTTGAATAAAGCCATAAATGACAGGAATAAGTCTACAGTAAAATATGTACCAATGTATTTAGCAGGTTTGAAATGCTAATTTCCTTGTTTGAAGTTAATCCATTAGACTTACAGCTTGTATCAGAATGTCAGTAAACTGTCACAAGAAGCTTTCTCCATGACCAAGATCAACTTCAGGTGAATCCAGGAGACTGTATGCGGCAGTGAAGTATGGTAATCTTTAACATGAGACCACTTCTCTTATTTTTTTGCCAAGTCATGTTATTCTATCCAGATATTTTTAAAACAAAAAACCTTCTTAACCCTTCCAGCTGTAGGTTTGTCACAACCATAAAACTTCACTTCGCACTGAAGCATTAGCAAATTTGCAAAGGGCCAAGGCAAACATACAGTCCTATCTTTTTCTCTTCGCTCTATACATGATATAATGCTGTATACTTATTGCAAAAGTATTTATTACATTCATTAATTTTGGTGCAGAGTTTTAAATATGCACTACATCTAGTCATTGCAGTGGTCAAACTGTTGCCTTAACAAAAATTAAGACGTCATTGAAATACAGCTGTGTGTCAACTACAAAAGCCTCCAGGCTGAATTTTATGTTAATTGACAAGGAGATGAGTGCTATGTTGAAAAATAAGCTAAAAGTCAGTCATTGTTATTTAGAACATTTTCGCATACTCAAAACACTATGGGACCCCATAATTGAATTGTACAACATGCAAATGGACACATTAGTCTGTGATATTCTGAAAATTATTTAGAAATGTGACCATAATCAACAAAATAATCTACACAGACAGAGGTGGTGGACAGCCTACTTAAAAATAATGCAAGAAATGACACCAGTATATTTTGACACAATTTTGTAAATACAGTAGGACAACAGCACTCATACTGTAGCCACAAGACGTCACATTCAGTCTGCATCCTTCATAGCTTGATAGATCTACAATCCATAGCCTGCAAACTGTGGTGTCATGAGAGCTTGAATTCAATGGGAGACAGAGTAAGGGAAGCAAGAATATCCAAGCAATTAAACAGGTGTTAAAAGCTCTATTAAAAATGTAGGTTCAATGGTTTTAATGGACCTCTATCACTCCTGTAGTTGTATCCTTTTGCCTTCCTCTGGGTGGTCTCTCCCACGCTTTCAGTCATTGTTGGCAATCATACAGGTTGATATAATGTCCTTCCGCAAATATGAGCGTGCAGCTCTACTGAAGTAACCTAGTTATGGAAATATTCAAAAACAATGGTTTTCCTACCTTATCCAGAACTAGAATTTCGTCTGCATCAACAATTGTAGTGAGTCGATGAGCTATAAACATAGATGTGCGTTGGTGCACCAAGTCTCTCATTGAACTGAGAATATTCTGTGGAGAGCAGAGTAGAAATTGATCCCTTTAATGCTGAAAAGAAAGATGGAAAACAAAATCTTGCAAATCCA